AGAGGAGAGGAGACGGGGTAAGAAGACGGCAAGACTTTAACAGCCGGTGGAATAAGGTAAGGTCTATACAGATGTTCAGAGTATGCAACTTTTCTGTGTCTGAAAAATTTTCTACTAAGTTAATAAAAAGAAAAAAAGTGAATGCATTTCTAGAAGTAACACTATCAGGCCAGAGGTGCTGCAAATAAAAATAATTTATACTAAGTTTTCTCTACAGCAATTCCTAGTCAGAAGAGCACACTATGCCTCTGAAGAACACATAATTATATATATGGCTTCTCCTGCAGGGTGATCCAGAAACAAGGGGGGGGGCATCTTTGTTAGAGTGGAGACTCCAGACAAAAGCTACCTGGATAAGGGACCGGCCACATCAACAACTCCCCTCTCCAATGAACACTGTACATTTGCATTCCAATGCTGCTTGTCTCAAATGGCTGTCATGTCGCTTTGTCAGAGAAAGAATCTACAGTGTAGGATTATTATTATTTTTTAAGGATTATTTGTAATACAAAATTATAAAAGAATCATAAAGCATTTGCTTCTTTGAAACGTCTGTTATACCAAATCATTGTTGATAATGGAATCTTTTAATGGGATTTTGCTTTTTTAACTCTAAAAGTGTAGGACATCAAGAAAAACTTTTAAAAACAGATTCCATTTCCTAATTAAGAACAATCTAATAGCTTATCTCCACTCATAAAGAATGGAGGGCGAAAATAAAGCCTAGGAGCTAATGAGGCCTGTTTGTTGCCATTATGCTTCTCGGGAGTATTTCTGGTTCTGGGGTCCTAGATACAACACCCAGTGTTTATTTATAAGCCTTTATAGGCAGTACTGGGGATTAAACCTAGGGGTTTTACACTGAGCTATAACTCCAGCTCTGCTTTGAAGGTTTTTTTTGAGATAGGATCTTACCAAGTTGTCCAAGGTGGGCATGAACTTGACTCCTTGCCTCACTTCTCAGAGCACTGGGATTATATGTGCATGCTATCATACTTGCTTTCCTTAATTTACCTTAGTGCTACATACAGCAGCAGATGGAACTGTATTTAAGCGTCGCACAATTTTGAGATACTACACATAGGTAACATGTCAGTCCTATCTAAATAACTCACTTTTGGAGCCTCATTCAAATACTATTTGGAAATAGCATGTTAAAAACACTGAATCTCCATCATAAGTGAAAGGTCCTGAGTTTGATCTCTGGCACCACGCCCCACTCCAAACAAAACAAAACAAAAAAAACCCAAAGGAACAACAGAATCTCAATCTCAATTGTTGGCACTCAAAATTTTTGCTTACTGGGCTAGGGATTTAGTTCAGTGGCACTGTGCCTGCCTTGCAAGTACAAGGTCCTGAGTTTGATCCCTAGAGCCACAAAAACAAACAAAACAAAAACAAAACAAAAAACCCTGTTGATTCATAATTTTAACAAAGAAATCATACTTCACTTTTTCTGGCTTTTTAAAATGCATGCAATCAGTCTTCTGATCAAGACACATGGTTGTTTTAGCACAGTTTAGATGTAACTTGGATGTGCTCTCCACAGCCACCTGAAGAGGCAGAAGTATTTCATCTGGAAACAGGACTACTATATAATTTTGAAAAAAATCTATCACAGTTCCTATTGTTTGCATATCTGTTATCTTCAAGTACAACAAATTATACTATAATTCTCCTGGAGAGACATTCTTCATTATCAGATGATGCTCATCTTTACAGAACAACCCTACCCTGTGTTCACAGAAATAAACATTTTTGGTTACCTCTAACACGAAGACAGCCTGTACCCAGCCTGCACCCAACCTTGGCAGCAGCAGGAGTGAAAGCTGCCATAGGCAAGACCTCAGGAAGATGGGACCAAGGAGAGGGGCACAGACCATTTATGTTCACTATGACTGGAGAGGCAATCTTCTAACTCTCCATCATGTCAGCATGACTCTAATTGAGGTGGCGAGGTTGAGCCCCAAGGCCCAGGAGCTCAATGCTGAATAAGATTAAGACAGCATCGTGACTCTGGTCATGGTGAAGAAGGCCAAGAAGACAGCCCAGGCCTCAACCCAAGATGAGGCTGGATAGGGAGTTTTATGCCCAAACATTCAGAAAAGCCTATTTCCTGGTTTTCTTTTTGCAAAAACCTGATCTTACCTTGGAATTCAACATTATTTCTGGAGCCCTGTACCAACGCGTGGCTACATACTCTGTCAGGAACCCTGTGTGATCATGATCTGGATCTGCAACGCGGGCCAGGCCAAAGTCACAGATCTAAGAGAGAAAAAAGGAAATGTTAACCAGTTCAATATAAAAACATCATAAAAGACAACAGTAGGAATAACCGATAATAAGTAGTAGTCACCATTATTATGTCAGATACTTTCCTGTGAATGCTACAAACTCATTATTATTTAATCCTCATTCAGGGTCCTTTCTTAGCCCCGTCCTACCCAAAGTTCCAGGGTTCACTGTTGCTGGGATCAGCTCCTCAATCTGCACTGGCCTTCCATTTCTTAGACCATCTCGTGTGAGTCTTCCACCACTTGATCCTGGAATGTTAGTATTTCCAAAGATACTTCCTACTTCCCTCTTTTCATTTTTCATATAGTAAAATCTACTCCCAAAGCCTTAAAAACGTTTTATGTACTGAAGATGTAAGTTTCCTTAAAAAAACCTCTTAGCCTTTCATCATCTGACCATCTAATACTGTAGTGCTACTCAACCAGCTATCTCATCAGATTTTAATGTATATAAAATATAATGGGGCTGGGGATTTAACTCAGTGGCATCACGCCTGCCTTGCAAGTGCAAGATCCTGAGTTTGATCATTTTGATCCCCGGTACCACAAAAACAAAAACACATCAAAAACCCCCCCAAAATAATAATGGTAATGTACTTAGTCCCACATAAATGCAGGATATTTTAATTCTTTGGCCTCTGGGAAACCAACCCGAGAGAGACGTGTGTCAACAAAGACAGGTCAGAGTACAGCACAGGGTAGCCTGGAAGACAAACTGGTGTGGAGGCTTACTACACTAAGTAGCTAAGAAACAAGATCCTGAACTGAGCCCAGAAAGATGGGGACAATAAAGGACAAGTCTAAGAGATATTTATAGAACCTGGGGTCTATCTGAACATCAATCTCTGTTTAGATATCCCAGTGTGAATGTCTCATTAATTCATAAAGATTTGGAAAGAACCCACCCACATCACGAATATCCTCTGGCATCACCAGGTAGCATTTTTGATTCCACACCCTTGTTGCTTGCTTCAACTACAAGATCCTGTAAGTTAGATGTTTTGTTGCATAATTTGTCTTTGAGACACTGTCACTTCATCATCAAAAGGAACTGTCTTCGACACTTTGTTCACTGTTGAGGCATCATACCTGACACTTACAACTTAAAGGAAGAGAGGGTTATTCTACCTCACAGTCTAGTGCACAGTTAGCTGGCCAGAAGACAAGTGGGGCACCATGGCAGAAGGCACAGCAGAAGAAAAGCTGTCCACATCATGGAGGCCAGGAAGAAGAGCGAGAAAGGAGGAGCTGAGAAGGAAGATAAACCCTTCTAGGTTTCTGAATCATGCAAACAGAGAAAAAATACTACATTCTATCAGTAGACCAAAACCACAGCAAGCTTTGGATGGAACGTGCGTGCAGATCTGTCACTATGCTTGATACTCAGCACCACACAGACAGCAAGGGTTCAAACTTGACACAACTTTGCATGGCTCAGGTAAATCACACAACAAATCCAGATTAAAAAAGCAAAACAAAACAAACCTGACCCACAGACCAATGACACAAAGTACTGCAGAGGATTTTCATACATTCCACTTAAAATATGAACAAAGAAATGGAAGTTGCATTTTCGAAAGCTTGATAAGGTTCTTAAATTTATCTATTAAGACAGGGATTTTAAGAGCTATGGGTAACGTTTAACATAGCAGACTGCATTCTCTTAAGAATAACACACAGTGCTCGCTTCGGCAGCACATATACTTAAGAATAACATACAAATAGAACACCACTCCTACTCATATCCCCACCACCCAGTACTTGGGATGGAACCCAGGATCCTGAGTATGCTAGGCAAGTATTCCACCACTGAGCTACACCTCGTCTTTTTATTTTGAGGCAATATTTAAGTTGCTCTGGCTAGCCTTGGACTTGTGATCCAAGTAGCTGTTTAAACATACTGGGCCCCTCATGCTCTTCTTACAAGCTCTTTGGCAGAAGCTGCTTCAATCTTCCCTCCTTGAATTTGAATGAACTTCTGTAACTGCCTGAACCAAAAAAATATAATGGAAGGGATGTTGTGTGACTTGAGGCTACATTATAAAATGAAACATGGCTTCCACTTGGCTCTTTCTAATGGGGCATTTGGAACCCTCTGCTGTAAGGAAGCCCAGGCCACACAGACTATAGGCAAACCAGCAATAGCCAGCATCAACAGCCATCAGGAACAGGAGTGATGGTTCCACACTCTGACTTCACATCTTTTGGTCAGGCCCAGGCACTGTAAAAAAACAACCAGCCATCCCTGTTAAATGCTTAACCCACAGAAACTGTGAGACACGACATTAATTTTCTGTTTGTTTGGTTTTTTGGGACAGGGTCTCACTATGTAGTTAAGCCTGACCTGGAACTCACTATGTAGCCCAGGCTGGTCTTGAACTCACAGAGATCCTCCTGCCTCTTCCTCCCTCGTGCTGGGATTACAGGGGTGCACCACCATGCCCGGCTACTACATAATTAATTATTGTTTCAGGTCAATATGTTTTTGGGTAATTTGTTACAGAGCAAGAAAAAAGTACTGCACTGGCACTGGACAGAGACTGTGATGGGACGGGCACTTCTATAGCAGACTCCATGTGAAATCCATGTGATACTGGACTAATGAAGAAATGCCAACGATGGGAGACCTGGGCAATGCTAAAGCAACAGGGAGGAGATGCTGTAGCTGGAGCCTCCCAAAACACCTATACTGAACCTGCTGCTTTTATATCTCAACATCATTGCTAGTTTATTTAGACTAATATAAAAGCTAGCCTCCCTACCTGCAATCTAATCTATCCTTTAAATTCCCAAGTATTAATGTGTAAAACAATAGTAAGTCATCTCTCTGGTTTAAATCTTTTTTTTTTTTTGGACCTGGAATGAACTCAGGACCTTGTATTTGCAAGGCAGGCGGCAGAACCACTGAGCTAAATCCCTGACCCTGCTGGTTCAAATCTTTTAATCAATCTTCTCTGTATATGGAACGAACAAGCTTTGTTTTGGAGATAAGGTCTTACTATGTAGCCCAGGATGGCCTCAAACTTCCAATCCTCTTACCTTAGCCTCCTAAGTGCTATGGGTACAGCCAGGTTCCATCACACCTGGCTCAAGACCAAATTCTTTAAGCATGACTTTCAGGATCATGGTGAAACGGATACCAAACTACCTTGCAGATCTCTTATCTTTGGAAGCACCATTGCTTCTGATCGTATTTATTCCAAACATATACCCCTTTTCCTGACTATCCAATGCCGTTCTAACTGTGGGCCTCTTATCAAAACATACCATTCCACTTCCTTAAATATCCAGCTGGGCCAGGCATGGTGACGCACACCTGTAATCCCAGCACTCAGGAGGCTGAGGCAGGAGGATTGCTGTGAGTTCAGACGAGCCTGGGCTACATAGTGAGTTTCAGGTCAGTCTCAACTACATAGCGAGACCCTGTCTCAAAAAACAAAAAACAAAACAAAACAAAAATCCAGCTGGGAACCTTCTGAGAGGTTTCTGAGCAATCAACACCTCTCAAATTAACTGTTAATTTTTTTTCAGATTAATGCCCAATTATGTAATGTTCTAGATGTTATTGTTTTTTCCCCCACTAAGTTTATTGGTACATTTAAAACAAACAATAGTTACATTTATCAGTGGGATCTTGTACCTTTACATGATGTTTTGGTTCTTAGTTTCTTTTTTTTGTTTTGTTTTGTTTTTTTTTGGTACTGGGGATCGAACTCAGGTCTTTGTGCTTGTAAGGCAGGCAGCGGAACCACTGAGCTAAATCCCCAGCCCTTGGTTCTTATTTTTAATTGCTCGTCTTTATAAACTACCATACTACTGTTATATTTATATTTAAGTATACAATCACAATTCATGATAAATAGTTGTATAAATGCCTGTTTCTCCACCTAGAATATAAGTCCCTAAAAACAGGCAATATGTCAGCTACTTCTTGTTCTGCAGTGCCCTATGCATAGTGGACAGTCAATATTTGATGAGTAAATGCTTTACTTTAAATGTTTTGGTAAAGCAAATATTGTAGTGGATCAATCAGCAGAGGTCACAATAATGACTGTTTTTCACAATATCTACATCACTAATCACCTTTTAAAAATAAACAGATTGCCATTAATCCCTTCAAAATGCTCCCTCCTGCTTTGAACACACTTATACCATCATTCTTGCCACTTTTCGAAGCAGTTCTGGGAGTCTTGATTCCAGTGTATATGAAGTGTGATAAAAAATACAGTGAAATGTTGCAGAATGCAGGCAGGCTCATAAAACATTACGGTGTGTCCTCATCTACTGCAGCCGGTACCATGCGGTTTTGGGCTCTTCCACAAAGTCAAAGGACCATGAAAAGTAAACATCTTGAACTGATTCAGGACATCAAGGTAGCCATGACAGAGCAACTAAGGACACTCATGAAAGAGGGCTTCCAAATGAGCTTTAGAAAGTAGTAAGAACAATGGAAATAAGTGTGTATGAAGCAAGGAGAAAATACTTTAAGGGAGATTAATGACAATGTGTCTTGTACAGCAATAATAATGTACTGTAGGGCCGGGGATGTAGCTCAACGGTTTGGTGGCCTGCTTTGCAAGCACAAGGACCT